ATTGTGTTCTATAAAGGATTTCATTAATGAATCATATGCCTGCACAAAAGTCACAGCTATTACACATCAGTAAGCAAATTAGGTACCATTTCAACACATCTGTAGCTGGAGAACTCACATGCCATGCAAAGATAAAAAACCAAGTCACGTCATTTGGAGAAAATTATCCAAGTTTTCAGTAAAGTAACCATTAACTGAGTCTAAAAACGGTCAAACAAATGCCTTTTTTCCACGAAATGAAGTTGGAAGTTGGAACTATTGCTCAAGATTTAGCCATCATTCAAATGGTATTTCTCTTAAGTAGAGATATTAGTTGGAATCGGAACAAAATTCAAGTTTTAGCCATAAAAGGAAAATGGCACACTTTGTAATATACTGTAATAAATATTTGTGCTTGACCACAGCAAACATATAACTTGTCCATGCACAAAACCGAATCATACGAAAGAAGAGTGCAAGATCATACCATCAACTCTATGCAAATTAAGCAGCTGAAGTAGTTAGCAGTGAAGCATTACGAAAATAGCTTACATTAACAAAGGCTTGGCTAAGCTGCTGCAGAAGATCAACCAAGGAGTGGCTTTGTAAAAATTGCTTTCCCATAGTATAGAAACCTTTTCTTGATGCAACCACTTGTATTAATTTGCCATTGCATATTTTGATCTACATGCACACAATTTCCATCATCAACGTCCTCAATTTCTAAAACTTCTATACTACAAAAGAAGGAGGAGGGTTGGAGGGGGGGGGGAGGGGAGCCGACATCTTTACAAAAACAACAGGAGTAGAAGAAAAATGCACCTGCATTTCGAAAAAATCTCCTTCGCGCCCCATCTCTCCATCTTTACGATCCACCCTTTTCAAATCTGCATGAAGCCGAAATGGAAAGAATACAGTTTACATTAAAAAAAATGGATAAAAAAGATTGAACTTTGGAATTAAATACTCCACTAGTAGAAAAAGGAAAAGGATGAGAAAAAAACCCACTTAATATTGGAGGAGTTAGGTGGGAGAAATTGAAGAACTCGTAGAAATCGGAGAGCTTCGGAATCGGGTGTATAGCCACCATATCGTAGCCTTCACCTACGGCTGCCGCCGGCGCCGGCGACGGAGAATCCGGTGGCCGGACTTCTCCATCAGCCGGTGAGGACGGTCGGCCAGATGGACTATTTTGCTGGGTTTTGTTCTTCTTGGCACGAGATTCTGTTCCGCCGCCAGCGGTGGCGGCTCTTCCACCCCTGGTCTTGGCGAAGCGTGTAGTGCACGCGACTATGTCAAGTAGTCTCCGCACGTGGGCTAACACTTGAGACACCTCTGCGTAGTCCTCTGAGGAAAGACAAGTGAGTGGCAATTTTGTCAATAAGAAGGAATAATTGGACAATATGTTTAAGACAGGTGGGTAATTACTAGTGCTTTTTTTTTGCCCCCCCCCCCCCCCCCTCTATTCCTTCTACGTGGCAAATGGCAATTACCACTGGTTCAGTACCACTAGTATTATGTAGGGCCATGGGATTGAAATTAGCACACGGTAATTTTGACTAATTTTTTGTGACATTCCTAATGAGTTTGACCAATTGAATTGCAAAATGGGAAAATCTCGGTTTGTTTGGATTGAGCATTATTTTTTTAATTTTATTTATTTACATCATCATTATAATTTTTAATATATTTTTTTATCTTATCAATTATCTTTTTATCTCACATACATCACGTCACAAAAAATATTACAATAAAAATATCCCAAATAACTTACAATCCAAACAAACCCTCGATATTATGTTTTTGGGTAATAGAAATCTCAATACGTGTTGGTGCCGAAGCACCAATAATACGTGTTGGTGCATTTTTACATCAACCACGTGGACCGTGCGTTTGTTGTCCAAAACAACAGTAAACAAAAACGTTTGTCATTCGAACCAAAAATCGTTTTAAAACCAAGAAAAATGAAAAAATGCGCCCGTCAAACTCAAAGTTGTGATCTTTGACTCAATCAAGAGTGTTTTGAGAAACTACAGAGCCGTCCCATATCAGGGTCCAAAAAGGCAACAACACAATAATATATCACTTTGGGTTTTTTGCTTCTCTCTTTCTTTTTTTGTTTTTTGTTTTTTTGGTCAAATTGCGTTTTATTTCTTCTATCATGAAGAATATTTTGTTCAATACTCCGTACCCCTTTAGGATTTTGTTGGCATTTTGATCTTGACTTATACTCCCTTCCAAAAAAAAAAAAAAATCTTTGACTTAGATTACTAGTACTTTCTTTTAGGTGGTAGGTGAAAAAGTGAGCTTGATGACCTGCCAAGTGCCAACCCATCTTTTTACTTTTTAGTACATCGATTCTGACGGGTGCAATGGAGTCAAAACAAAGACACTGCTGCTACTGCTAGGTCAGGACATCCACCTATTATGACCCTACACAACATCTTTTATGTCAAACGCTTTTAAATTAATACTAATAAGAATGGTCGACCCAATGCGGAGTTTACGAGTTCTAACCGTGGATTTGTCATCTTCTACTACGGGCCATTATATTTTTTTTTTACTAATAATAATAATAATAAATAACAAGTATTTGCAAGCTGCCAAAACAGGAAAAGATGCATAAACATAGGTTTTATAACATATATAGATATAGTATAAAAACTGTAGAAATGGTTATATCAAATCCTGATGAGGATGTATTGGGGCGACCGAGTATATGCCTTCTTCTGCTGTTCATTTAACCTAGCGGGACCGCAGCCACAGGAATCCAAGTTGATGGCTTCTTGTATTATCATCTCATCGCATCTAACTTAACATTCCCTTCCTTTTTTCCTTTTTTAATAACTGACGTTTAAAATTTTGCACATCAATTAAGAAAAATTTTTCATTGCTTAAATTTATACACTACTTTCCTTTTGTACCCTCATTAATTGTCTAATTCACCTATATTTTCTCTCACTAGAATACTAAATGGAACAGATAATTACTAGGATTGTTACAAAGAGAGAAGCACTAATTACTAGGAGTAGTAATTAAGAACCCTATATTGGAAAAGAGAAATAAAAGGATAAAATTATGAAAAAAATAATTAATACTGTATGAGAATAATAAAATGACAGATAAAAATATACTAGATCAAATTTCTTAAACGTCAGTTATAAAAAAAAAAAAAAGGAGGGAGTAATAATCATAAGCCAAAGAACATTTTGAAAAGCACCCTGCTTTGCTTTATTTGTTTAATATAAAATTTAGAGAGCGCAATACTTATCGTTCATTTATTGGAACTTCCCCCTCAACCCCTCCCCTCCTATGAGAAAACCTCGAAAATTCCAACAATTAAGTAACGGACAAGGACCAGTTGGGCATTGGCCAGGAACAAACAACCTGTCTGTACTGCGCCGAATGCAGACTTGAATGTGCGCGCGTGTATATATATATATATGTATATATATATAGATTGGCTAGAACATTTTTACTATGTAGTAGTATAAGATTCTTAAAATGAATGACCAGCAGATCATAGATAGCATAGATTTAACGGCACTAGGAAGAGCCACGAGGGCTGAACATAATTATTGGTATTATATAATCACCACCTACCTTCGACCATCTTCAGCAGACATGGCTTGAGCGTGACAACCTCCAACTTGTCGTTTAATTTTTGTCCTTTAACCTGCAGTTTAGGCTATTCCATTTTGTCAATCGAATCCCACTAAAAATTTTTCATCAGCCAAACGTTAGGCATATAATAATATATACACCTACCTGGACTTAACTTGTAAATATACTAGTATGAATTTAGTTTATACGGACGGAAAAAGAAAAAAAAATTTTTTTTTTTTTAAAGAATTCGTCATCACCTCATGAGATAAAGAATAGTTTGTAAGGTGGCATGTTTCAACATTGGCAGCAAGCAACTTCTTGACATCCAGTATCTTGTCCGTCGAGATGCCCTGGATTCCCAAGATGAAAAAAAAAAAAAACAAAACAGTTAAAATTCTCCTTTAATCAATAACTGGACGAGCTCAACAAACAAAGAAAACAGTAGTGAAAGTTCGTCAGACCGGTCATTCACATTAACTAACTAAACCCTTTCTGGGCAAAAAATCAAATACCTTGAGTATGACTTGGGTTTCATATGGGGTGATGACAGTTATGTCAAGAACACCAGGTACAACTGCAAGTGATAAGACAAATCAAAAAAATCCACAGCTGATGAATTCACAAAGAATTCGTGTAATGTGAAACATTCCAGCATAGGAGTACATGGGCATAATAAAGTAACATATATATATATATATGAGATTCTAACCTTTCTCTTCTTTCTTCTTCTTATCAGTCTTAGCTTTGTTTCCTTTGCCCCTGCCTGACCTTGGGGCCATATCCTTTATTCTTTCTTTTTCGGAGGAAATATGTATAAGAAACGAGTTGAAGGGAGCTGGCTAGCCTCGCTATAAATACGACTGGGATTGAAACTCGGATTGTTAATGAAGGTTATGCATTAATGGCCGCGGGCATGCCCATGCAAAATCGGATGGAAAAGCTCTTAATAACTAAAAAAAAGGAGGAAGAAGAAGGAATACGAGTTAGGGGGGAGCTGAGAGATGGATAAGAGGAAGACGAGTTAGGTGTTATTAGGTGTATTGGATGATAAAAAGGAAGAAAAGGGATGAAGGGAAAATCTTAAGGGGTTGAGAAAGAAAGAAGATAGGATAAGGGTTTTAGGTTGAGGTTCTCGTGGATTTGTAAGAAATCCTGGCCTCTCCTTCTTGCTTGCTTGATATATTACAGATTACAATTTACGCACACCCCACAACACTGATGGCTGCTGACCCAGTGACCACCACTCTCTCTCTCTCTCTCTCTTTTACCCTTTTTTTATTTTTATTTTCAAAATACAATTTTCTTTTCTATTTTTTTTATTATTTGGGGCTCTGCTGATCTCATTTATTTTTCCACGCACAAAACACACACTAGATGTGATGCTCCTTTTTTTAAGGGAGGAGAAGAGCAGCAGGCAGCCCCATCACCCATACATTCAGACAAAAACAAAATTGGTGGGGAAACGAAGGAGACACGGTTCAGTCTCGTGCCACGTAGCGTGAAAATGGGCTGGGTTTTTGCTGGTCTCGTATGGTGGCCGTGTTTCTTGTTTTCTCAACTGGTTGGATTCCGCTCCTCCTACAGCCTTATATTCCACTATGTATTATTTTCTCAACCATCGGGAGCTGTTTCTGAGACTACTGTTTTTGGCACTTTTTGAGTCCATTGGGAGGAGAAGAGATGCTGGTTCAATTTTAAGCGAAAACGTACGGTTTATTTTTTCAATGACACGGGTTTCCTGTGGTGTTAACTTGGTGCTTGCTCTTCATCGTTTTTTTTTTTTTTTTTTTTTTTTAATAATAACGAGTCCATTTTTCGACCAGCAAGCTTGGAAATGCTCACGAAAATCTCGTTTGCTGGCGCGCATAAAATTTCATCTAGTACAGCTTTTCAGCCAATGCCCAACGTCTTCAAAGTTCAAAGCACATGACCTGGCTCTACTTTCTAGGTAACAATTGCAATTATTTTTGAGTAAATCTTATATACGCTGACACAGTGTATGCACTGTTATCGTTAGATTCATGAAATTGAATCTAACCATAACAGTGTATACACTATCAGTGTAGGAAAAAAGACTAATCCTTTGTAATATGATATACGCGAATTTTTTAAAAAGATATCCTTATACTATATAAGAATGAGTTTGAGTCAAAGAATGGCTTTGAATTTCAACCGCAAAAGTAGGGGTATTTTGGGATTGTAAGGTTGTTTTGAGTGTAGTTATAGTATTGGGTACTACTTTAGATAACATGTGTATTATTCTGTTTACTGAAATATCCTTGTATTCTAAAAGATGCAGTGATGATTTGTTCAAAAGTTTGGGTAGTTTGAAAATGTGAGATTATTTGGTCATCTTTTCTACAATGGGTACAACCCCATAATAGCTTCTTTATTGGTGTAATTACTTAAATGTCCTTGCAGAGACATTCATTTTGGTTTGTGTCAATTATTACTGTTACTTTGCTATCATAACTTGACGAACTTCAAACGTCATTTTCATCTCAATTAAAGCAAGGACAATGTGGTTTATTAAGGAATTTATGATTGAGTATTAGTTTCAACTTCAATTCTTCAAATGTCTGCCCCTTCACATTCTTCCGTTATGTTCCTTTCATCTTCCGATAAATACTTATTTGTATTGCTATTGTACTCTGGATTTCAACTTATTCAATGAAACATCGCCTCAAGAATGAAACCTCACCTCAATTGTCCTTATTTTTTGGGGAAAGATCTAATTAGTATCAAGTTAATGAAATTACAGGTAAAGGCCTATGTTAAGGGCATTTGGCATTATGTTCACCCAAAATCTATGGGGGTTGATGATCCATTGCTGAATTCTCGGATAGAACCAAACCTTTTGAGGCTAGGCTTTGTCGTTGCTAAAAAAGTTGGCTACTTTCATCAACAAGAATGTTGTGTATATGCATCTTTAAGTGGATAATTACTTTGTTTATTGCCATTAATCATTTGGGTATCTGTTTAAAGTTCATTTAGTCTTGTTAATGAAAAGCTCATATAAAAGTGTTTGTTTCAAAATATATGAATTGAGCAAGATAGCATGCATAATTTCCTTCTCCATCTTCCAGTATACATTAGATATTTTGTTACTTCATATTGTTACTCAATGTGTGTGAGTTTTTTTATATTCGCTTGAACTACCGTAAAATCTTCTTTAATCACAGGCACCAAACACCCGCGCAATGCGCGGGCATTCCCCTCCTAGTATAATCATAAGTGTGACTCGGATTAAGTGTGAAATAGATAAAGAATTAAGCATATATTTTGCGGTTGAAGAACTGAAACGAATGAATAGCGCGGTAGGGACAATATGTAGTCAAGCAATCGTAGCATTGCATCCCTGGTTCGCTTTCACTTCCAGATCGCTGTTTAAAGTCTTCCTCAAAACAAAACAAAACAAAACAAAAGAAACATGAATCGTGCAGCCTAGAAATGGTTTAGATCAAGATGAACACGGTACTACACAAACTCGGGCCTACTTTCTCAACTTGTTTTTAGTTAAACATCTTCAAATCTCATCAAAATACTTGATTACTTAAATAAACAGACTCACCATCTTCTTAAAATACATGACGATGTAATTGTTATTATCACTAGATGAAGTCGTCAACGGCATCAGCACATTCCTTCTTGGCTTTGACTGCTAACTGCTTAACTACATGTGCTTTAAATGGCTTCAAGCTATTTCTTTTAGGTGTTGCTGGGTACCGTCGTCTACGTCGGTGAGAGCATTAATGAATGAACAGTCAAATAAATTTTGAAGGCTGCCAAACTAGGAAAGCCAATGGAGCTTAGAGGGGGGATAGATAAATGAGAGGCCATGTAGTTAAATTTTAAATCACAATTTGAGACAGAGAGAGAGAGAGAGAGAGAGGAATCTTTAGTTCTCTACTTAACCAAAATGTGTAAATTTGAAGGGAATCTGCCTTTGCCCGAGTGTGTTCAAGTTTAAAAATATTTTTGTAGATTTTGTTTCCAATCAAGGGGATGTTTGTGAAATATTTTACTGTAACAGTGTATATGAAAAACTTTATTATACATGTTTTTTGAAATATTGATATATTATATGAATGAGATATTTTTTGAATTATTTTTGTTTGTGTATAATTATAGTATTGTATTTGAAATTTTATTTTTAAAAAATTGGCCAGTCCAAACGGAGTGGTAGACACCAAACAAACTTTAATTGGTTAATTAGAAATACTTGTATTAATAAGATAAAGAGTAAAGTTTATCTTACACTGATAATGTATACATCATCACCATTAGATTCACGACAGATATATATAAAAATTAAATTTTAAATTCAAATTTTATATAATTATTGTTGATCTAAAATTGACAACGTAAAAAGTGTCGGTGTATAGAGAATGTATCCTAAGATACAAGTCATCTACCTTTTTCTCTTTTAAGATAAAAATCATCTACTTGGAAGATTTTTGTTCTCTCTACTTGGAAGATATCTACTTGAAAGATATACTAAAAGGAATTTGAGATATTGGAAACTAAGTAAAAACTGAAAAACTATTCTTGGATGAAGAAAAAAATGTTTTAATTGTGGTACGAGTGAAATGCTTATGTACAGATCCTACTCTCTACAATTATAGGCGCAAAGGCAAATACCTTTTTAACGGTTTGAATTAGGTCCCCCGTCTTTCGGCCATGCAACCCCACCAGTCCTCAATCATTTTCAAGCTGCATAATCAATTGATTTGAATTGATCATTTATAACACCATCAAATCTGCCAACTTTCAGAGAGAAAGAACAAGGCTGACAAAGATTTAAATCCGTCCACATGTCCGAAAGATTCTCTCTTTCTTTCTTTTTTTTTCGAAGGAGATGTCCGAAAATTTATTTTTTCTTTTTTTGAAGGAAATGTCCGAAAGAAAGATTCAGAGACATAAGTGCATAATGACTGAGTTGTTAGGTCATGGTGACCATTGGTACTGTGACAATCAATTTTTATGGTGCACGTGGAACACATGGTCTTAGCAGCATAGTAGTAGTGTCCTACGTTGGTTGAGACGCTACTTGACCTACTTCTAAAACTTTCTCACCAGCTTTCAGTTCATGAAATGAAACTGCCTTCCTCCCTCCCTCTCTCCCGTGTTCTATGCTTAACGTTCTTTGCCTGAACTTTTTCTTCTTCTTTTTATTTTAGTATTTTTTTTTTCCATTCTTTCAAGTTCAACATCAAATGGTACGAGACGAGGATGGATGGACATTAGGATAATTAATCACGTGTCCAGCATTCGCATTTCGTCTTCTGAAACTTCGGTTTGAGTATTAAGTTTGGTTGAAGACTTTAGAGGTCCAAAGCATCTCACTTTCTCGTTCTTTTTAACCTCTTGTTTTCAGGCATTCCTACACGCCCCCGGCAAACTAATTATTAAGATTATAGTACCACTCCATGCATGGTTGAAACCCCACGAGTCGGAGTCCCTCGGAATCATGGTTCAAAATCGTGATCTGAACTGTTCCATATCGATCTCGGTATATCGGTAGCGGTTTCGACGAGACGCGAATTTTTGAAATATTTAATATTCTAAAAATTGTAAAAAATATGATAAATAAAAATAATTAAAAAATTAGTTAAAATAATAAAAATTCGAGTTGATTCGGAATGATTCGAAGTGATTCGATAAAACTCGGCCGTTTCAATTTTTCTCGGTGACGTCTCGGCGAATCACATATCTCGATATCGTTTCGTCACGGTCTCGTCTCGGACTAGGCCGAGACGGTGACGACTCGGCCGAGTCTTCGAACCATGCTCGGAATAATGAATGATTCTACCATTCCTTGAAGCAAGGCATTATTCTGTTTGGGAAGAGATGCATAAATTAATCAGTTTTAGTGTGATCATTACGTAATTAGTAGCTGTTGCCGGCGGAGCTAATCCCATATTAATTTGTAAGCTGGAGTTTTTGGGCTGGTTGAACTGCTCCCATTGTGAATGACGACGGTTTGCAAGCTGGATTTATGCCATAATTCTTCGATAATGGCGTTTTCTAAGTTCGCTGCTTTCTTCTTGTTTGGGCAGGCTTCCGAGGTACTCGAGAGAACAGCAGCAAATCAGCTCAAAAGTTAGTTGGTCAATTTTTTTATTTAGCAACAAACAATCCAGGGGGACAAAACCGAAAAATAAGAAGATGATTCCGAAAAGTAAATGTAGAATCAACAAAATGTGTCATTGCAGAGGCCTCGATCAAGAATCTGGGATCACTCTCCCCCAAAAGGAACTGACTTCTACGGGGAATTTGATTATTGTTTTGTCCAATGCCAAGATCAGATAATAAGTATTTTGGACGGTCGCGACTTCATGAATATTCTTAAAATGCTCCTCCCTCTGGCTTGTTTTGATATGTCTTGTCGCCTTGCTGCAACGAGAGACGGTAAGTGAGCTTATATAAGAAGGTGATCGGGGGGAAAAAATAAAATAAAATAATATGGTAAAAGAAAGTGTTTGGCATGGACGCATTCAGCCTTTTTCCTCGCACAGAAATACCAAAGATGTGAAGAAAGAAGTCAATACAACGCTTCAGGCATGTTCTTTGGTCTGGTATCTTTCAGGGAAAAATAGAGTGCCATCCTGAAATATTTGTCCCTATCACCCATGATCCAGTAATTAACGTATTATTATGCCTCCAACGACAACATGCGTGACTAGGGCACGGCCTATCGTGTAATATAGGGCCAACTTAAGTTAGTTACCAAATTAATGCTACAACTTATCACGCTGTTTCCTTATTTACGGCGGAAATTGATAGAAGTTACGCAAGTCGATTCAGTTAACTAGAACGGATAACATTCTTGCAAAAAAGTTATAGATTTGAGTTGATATAAGATTGATACTAGTGAATGAACCGATATAATGTAAGTCAACGTAAGCACTATATTGATAAGTAATCTGTAGATACTTTAAGAATAAATTATGATACCCACTACGTGTTGTTATTATTATGATCTATCATATTCAATGAAGTTGAAACCAGTCAAATTTTAGAAGCAACTTATGCAAGTCAATGAATAATTGAATTCTTGAAAATTCAAAATGTAACCCCTCCATTTTGATGCTTTTATGCCCTCTCCGTACTTGGTTCCCATCTACCCATTCCTTTCGGCTACTTTTATGCATCACGTATTTGTGGCTTCTGCCTCCTCTTGATAGAAAAGAAAATGAATTATGAACATAAATAGGCTGTGTAGCCTTGTTTTTCAGCTGAATCTTTGTTTATCTTTTCCTCCTACGCCTAAGCAAGAATGCATGCCCTCTTTTTTTTGTCTTAACGATAATATTCCTATAAACTAATCTATCCGAATCTATTAAGAGGGGGAGTCGATGAGAATAGAAAATTCATTGAAAAAAGGTCACTAAAAACGATAACGTATAATGGCAATTGGTGGAGAGTCAACACCTCTAAAACTTGAGGGGTTGGCCGAAGGGCTGGTGGCAAGATGCATGTCCTCCCTCTCCCAATTTATTGCCGTTTCCCCGACAACATGTAAAGCAAACAAGTA